CATTCTGGAAATACGGAGGAAAAACAAAGCCCCCAATACTATCTCCTGCAAAATACAGATGACAATCTCAGGAAACTGTTATATAAGATGTTAAAAGACTCACCTCCATAGAGAAAGCAGGGGAAAGCTAAAAGAAGAGAATCAGGTGGCAGGAAAAAACTAAGATAAGAGGAAAGAGATGACATGAAAGAAAGAATTGCCAAGAATCTAAAAATATAAAAGCAAAATTTGAATTCACATTGATGGCAATGAAAACCAGTATTGACACTGTAGGAAACTGACAGTATGGCTAGCAAACTTGGGAATTTTTCACACAAAGCAGAAAGAGCATATTGATCACCGGGCCCTCACCCAGAAACTCTTATTCAATTGACCTACAGCAGGGCCTTAGTGTATTTTTTGTTGATGTTGTTTGTTTTTAATCCTTATATCCAGGCCACATCTCAGACAACTTAGAACAGAATTGCTGAGGAGGAAACCAGGCATCAGTAATTTTTAAACCTCCCAAGGAGATTCCAATGTGCAGTCAAGGCTCTAGAGCTTTGGGGGCAAACTTCTGTAATCTGAGGATTTCTAGGTTATTTTTCATTTATGAAGACAATAGGAGACATGGTCAGGCATTCAGGTATCTGTGAAATACTAATATATCTTCTAGAAGAAATAACTTGAAGATTCTCTTCAATTGACTAAAACATAAAATGAAGAAACAAAAACTAATAAAATTATGGTATAAAAGGTGTGGTTCTGGTTCAATATGCATAGATTGATATAGAAAAACTATATATATATATATATATACACACACACACACATATACACATATATAATTTAAAAACATAATTTAATAAAAATAAATCTCCATATATTAGCAATGATTGAAAATAGAAAGACCAAACTATATATACACACATATATTTAATATATACATATTATATGTATATACACACATATATATTTAATATATACATGTTATATGTATATATACACATATATATTTAATATATACATGTTATATGTATATACACACTTGTGTATGTATGTGTGTGTATAGGAGAAAAAGGACAATATAAGCAAAATAAACTTAAGGTACTCATAAAGCTTCGTACTCAAAGTCCCATTCCTCTGAATCAGTTTTGTACTCAGTTGCCTGGTCATACTTACAGGAATAACAGTACAACAAGTATTCCGAAACAGAGTAAAAATTTATTCAATTTTCACTATCAAATTTAATTTAATTTAAACACCAACCATAAAAAGATGGAAGGACACCTTTCATATCTTTCAATCATATTTGAATTTGTATCTAGGAAAATGGAGGGACTCTGTCATTTTAACAGTTTTGATTGCCACTAACTATAATTGTTACTACAAGGGTTGTGCATTCAAAACCTCCTAGTCATTCTGACAGCTTTCCTTCATGCATCAAGCCTAGCAATATTTCCTAAAGTCATATAACTTATTTTTCTCAGGGCCTCTACAATTAAGGGTGCAAGTCTGGACCACCAATGTAACTTCAATTCTCCAGGAATCCAAGTACTGAAAGTAGGCCATAGCCCCTTTTGATCTTTGAAGTTGTATCCATATTAGTGGCCTTTTACTCTTAAAATAGAAGGATAAAAGGACTTCTATTCCTGAATAAAATGTAGTAAGGTCATAGCAGCCTAGAATTCCCATTGCAACAATTATAAAGAGCCAGACAAGAAAGTTACATTTGTAAGGATCTCAGAAAATGAGGAAGCAATGAAGGCTACATAAATTACCAATCGTTTTCTTCCTTGGGGACCTTTTACAATTCTGGGCATGGACCAAGAATTTGACTGACTTATAAATAAGGAATCTACTTGGGGAAAGAGAAACCAGAGAGGTTTTTGGCAGTCACATGGGGGTGGTGGGAGAAACCAGAAACTTGGTAAGTGCTAAACACATAGCTGGTTTTCCCCGGGGACATCTTCTGGGTTCAGGGCCTATGCAAAGAAAGCTGGGGCATTTGTTTAAACACTTCAAAAAGTCATAATAAAATCTCCTCTAGTTTCATGGTGCTAAGGTGAAAAAGTCTAATTAGAGGAAAAAATCTTGCCCTTCAAACACATAGCCAGCCACTCTGCTTAGGACTTCTTCCAGATTTTGAAGCTATAATGGGGCAAGGGGTGCAAGGATAAAGGGCTAAGTTCAAAACTTCTAAACCACAGCACTAAGTTCCCCACAATCTTTCAGAACTGGGAAGACAGAATTCCTGCAGGCTGTAATCAAAAGTCCAGAAAAACTATGTTTGAGGAACAGAGAAAAACCAGAAGTGGACTAAGTCTTACTAAAGCTGCAACTTAGCCCCTATTCAGCTCAAAGATAAAACCTTCATCCTAAGAGTGTTTCCAAAGAGGACTGTGGAAACCTTCTCTAGTATAGGTCATCAACTGGAGCCTCTGTAGTGTTTCAATTTATAACGTCTGGTTTATAATAAAAAATTACTAGACATGCAGAGAAGCAGAAAAATGTGACTGATCATTATAATCAAGAGAAATGATAAACAATAGAAGCAGACCCACAGACAATCCAAATATTAAATCTAGCAGATGAGAACTTTATTAAACTAATTAATATACAACATAAAACTTAAAAAAATGGGGAAAATGGATGTAATGATAAGAAATATTTAAAAATTAAAATCGTTGTAAAACAATCAAATGAACATTCTCTGACAAATATAACATCTGAGTTTAAAAACACATTAGATGCATTTAACAGCCAATTAGAGAAGTAGATAAAATTATTAGACTTAAAGATAGGATTATAGAAAATATACAAACCTAAGCACAGATGAAAAGAACATATTAAAAAAAAACCTTATCATATGAGTTAGTTAAAAGGTATACCATATTTATTGGAAATTCCAGAATAAAAGGAGAAATAAAAGGGAACAGAAGCAATATTTGAGGAAATAATAGCCAAAATGTTTCCAAAGTTGATAAGACATTATTCTACAGATTCAAGAAGCTCATCAAATTCTAAGCAAGGTAAGTAAAAGGAAAATAACAGTTAGACATATTTTTGTCAAACTTCTAATAATCAAAAATTAAAAGAAGTCCTAAATGTATCCAGAGGAAAAAAAATACATTACCTTCAAAGAAGCAACAACAAAATGAATGGCTGACTTTTTAACATAAATTATGGAAGCCAGGAGATAATGGGATAATATCTCAGACTGCTGAAATAAAAGATTGTCAATCTAGAATTCTATTTTCTTTAAAATATCATTCAAAAATGAAGAAAAAGTAAAGAAGTTTTCACCCAAATGAAAATGAATTTTTTACCAACAAAACTTCACTATCAAATCAATTAAAGAAACAATGTAAAGCAATCATACAAAAGCATGAAACTGAAAGAATAAAGAGCATCAAAAAGTATAAATATATGGGCAAAAATAAAATATTATTGATTGTTTCATGTAACAAGAATAATCATGTCTTGTGGAAATTATAACATAGAAAAAAAATATGTGACAACAATAGCACAAAGGTTGGATGAAGAGTATTATGTCAAAAATGCATATTATGGTCTCCAGAGAAATCATATAATAATAACATAATAATTTATTACTATTTAGTAACTAGAGAAATAAAATTATAAAATATACTTGATTAATCCAAAAGAAGACTAGAAAACAAGAATAAATGAGCAAAGAACAGATGAGCTGATAAAAAGTAAATCACAAGATAGTGGACTCAAACCCAACTATATAAGTAATTCCAGTCCCTATAAATGAGCCAAATGAAAAAAAAATTTTAAAGATTATTAAATTAAATTTTTAAAACTTGACTATATGCTACAGACAACAATTATCATACATACATAGATAAAGAAAGGGTGAGAATCAAAAGATGGTAACTGATATATCACCTTGACACTAACCAAAAGAGAGCTGATGTCATTGTACTCATAGCAGACATATCCAAATACACTGTATGTTAGCCTATCAGGAAGTCTTAAATTTTTGTTCAAAGGATTCAAATTATATGTAATATGTTCTCTGGCTACAATAGAATTAAATATATATATATCTCAGAGAAAGATAATTAGAAAATCTCCCAAATATTTGAAAATTACACAATATACTTCTAAGCACCTCAAGGATCAAAAAATCAAATAAAATTAGAAAATATGAGCTAAATGGTAACAAAAGTGACGTATTAAACAGTGATGCCCAAAAGGAAATTTACAGTTCCAAATGCAAATGAGTATCTGAGATGAGAGAAAAAAGAAAAACTGAAAAACAATAATGTAATTCAGACAAATTTAATCCAAGGAAAATAGGAGAAAGAAAATATTAATGAGCAGAATTAATAGGGTAAAAAACATATTATAGAGAAAGTAAACAAAGCCTAAAGTTAGTTCTTTGAAAACAGTAATACAATTGATAAGTCTTACTAGTGCTGATCAAGAAAAAGAGGGAGGGAAAACATAAATTACCAATATCAGGAATAAAAGGGAAATTATCACTACAGACATTTAATAGATATAAACAATCTTGTGTCACTTAATTTTAAAAATTGAGATGAAATGGATAAATTCTTTTTTAAAAATAAACTCCAGGCCGCGCGCGGTAGCTCACGCCTGTAATCCCAGCACTTTGGGAGGCCGAGGCGGGTGGATCACGAGGTCAAGAGATCGAGACCATCCTGGTCAATATGGTGAAACCCCGTCTCTATTAAAAATACAAAAAATTAGCTGGGCATGGTGGCGCGTGCCTGTAATCCCAGCTACTCAGGAGGCTGAGGCAGGAGAATTGCCTGAACCCAGGAGGCGGAGGTTGTGGTGAGCCAAGATCACGCCATTGCACTCCAGCCTGGGTAACAAGAGCGAAACTCCATCTCAAAAATTAATTAATTAATTAATTAATTTAAAAAAATAAACTCCAAATGGACACAAGAAGAAACAGAAAATCTTAACAGTTAAAGAAATTGAATATTAAAGAAATTGAATCTGTATATTGAATTGTTCTATGTCTATGAAATTGAATAGTTTATTAAAGGAATTGAAAAAAATTAAAACTTTTCACAAGGGCTTCAATGGTGAATCTTCACACGGAATAAATAATAATCTTACACAAACTCTTCCACTTCAATTTACTAAGTTTTTTAATCTTTGGCTAGGTAAATCAGGAATTTAGTCTAAAAGGAGGGAAGAAAAAGAAGACAAGTGTTCTTAGAGTTGTCGCCAAAGTGGCCTACAACCTCTCAGCAAATTTGCTCTCTTGACCAGAAACACTACATTTTAAAAAGAGTTTACTCCCCAAGGGGCCAAGGAGAGTTCACAACTTTAGAAACATAATCGTAGTTTTTCTTATTGTGTGTTCGGGATAAGGGATTTGACGTTCTACATTGTAAATCTACAGGAGAAGAAAAAGCTATAAGCAAACTTTTTCATTAAGTCCATCAGCTCAGTGGTAATATAAAGTACTTAGGGCACTGCCTAGTTTATAGCAGTAACTCAATTTTTTTGTTCCATTCTCATTTTAACTTTCAAATCTGCAGCTTGTAGTAGATACTTGTTTATTGCCCCTAGTTTCCACTTATCTTCTTGGACAATAGTCCTGAAATTCTCCTGTGCAGAAACTATCTTACCTCTATTCACAACCCATATATAGATGACCCTATACTTGTGCTTTAGAGGTCAAAAAGCACCATGGACCAATGAAGTCCAGTGAAACCATGATGATTAATTTTATGTATCAATTTGACTTGGCCATGGGATGGTCAAACATTATTCTGGGTGTTTCTATGACAATGTTTTTGGATGAGACTGACATTTAAATTAGTAGGCTGAGTAAAGCAGATTTCCCCCTCATGTGGGTGGGCCTCATCCATCAGTTGAAGTCCTGACTAGAACAACATGGTTGACTCTCTCCTAAATAAGATGGAATTCCTCCTGTCTGACTACCTTCAAACTGAAACAGGGGCTTTTCTGGGGTCCTCTGGAATGGAACTACATCATCAGTTCTCCTGGTTCTCAGGCCTTCAGACTTGGACTTTGGACTTGCACCATCAGCTCTCCTGGGTCTTGAGATTGCTGACTCACTCTGCAGATCTTGACATTTGTCAGCCTCCATAATCATGGGAGCCAATTCTTTATAATGAATCTCTTTATATATCAAGAGATTGCGGAAATGTGTGTGTGTGTGTGTGTGTGTGTATATATATATATATATATATATATAAACATTTATATATTTTATATATGAGGGCAATAAAGCTAAAAGTGAAGCCATTCAGAGGATGGGGAGCAGAGAGAGGGATCCTGGGGACATCAGCTAAGCCCTCATTTAAGTTGCGCCTGAGCTCCCCTGGATCTTTCAACTTTTCAGCATCTATCAGCCAATACATTCTTTTCTTCCATGAGAATCTGGGTTGAATTTTTTGTCACAACCAAAAGAAGTGTTTTCTGCAATGAACACACACACACACACACACACGTATACACAGACACATGCACACACATACACATGTACACACATACGCAAACACATACACACATACACAAACATACACAAACACACACAGATGTCCCTGATTTTTCTTATTTTTATTGATTCTGATTAAAGTATGCTTTACTTAATAGGTAGGGCATTTTCTTTTCTTTTTTTACACCAGCACTGAACAATCAAACTTTCTGCAGGGATGGAAGTGTTTTACATCTGCACTGTCCAGTGAAGTCCCTTGACTGGGTAAAAGGGCCTGGAAAGAGAATGTTGACCAAGAAGAGAAGAGGCCAAGGACAGGGTTCTGATGAAGGAGGAAAAGCTAGCAGATGAGAAATGGCCAGTAGAGTAGGAGTCCAGATAAATGTGTAGCACAGAAGCCTAGAAAAGAACATATCTCAAGAAGGGGGAACCAACCATTCCTTCTGTGTGCAGCTGAGAAATCAAAGAAGATGTGAGTAGAGAACTGCTGTTACTGATGAATGCCCATCCAGTGCTGTGGCAGAGATGAAAGCCCACTGGAGTGAGCTGAGGATGAGAATTAATGATGAGGAAATATAGACCTTGAACTTGGATGACTCCCTCCAGAAATTTTTCAGTGACAGATAACAGGGAACCGGGCAATAGCTCAAGGCAGTATAGGATCACTTTTCTTGATAGAGGTGATGCTAAGTCATTTTTATAATACATGCTAATGGGAAAGAGCCAGTAGTGAAGGAGAAATCAGTAGTGCACAAGAGGAAGGAGATAACTTCAGGATTGACATCTTAGGAAGGTGAGAGGGGTCAAATCCAGAACATACACAGGCTTCTCTGCAAGCAGGACCCTTTATGTTTAACACAGCACTGACTCAATAAATAAACTGAAACTTGGAAAAGTAGAAACAGAAAGCCAGTGTTCTTCCCCACCACCATGCCATAAAACTGCTTTTCTCAACTTGTACTTTCCTGCTCCTGGACAAAAGCTCCAGAACATCTCATGGCTTTTTCAGTTACTCTCAGATAACAACAACAAAAAAGTCCATTAGTTGTGTTTAGCACCCTGTGTATTATCAACACTCCAAAATTTAATTTAAAGTTTCTCCTCTCCTCTAGCTCTGGCCTTTCCCAACCAGGAAATGACCAGTGAGGGAAGGGGAGGAGAAGTTGCTTCTCCTTTCCTGCTTGCTTCACAGTCAGTCTGACCTGCTGGTTTTTGGGGTTTGTTTGTTTGTTTGTTTATTTGTTTGTTTTTTCAATTTGATGGTTGGAATCCAGTAGGGAAGAAAAGTAAAAGAAAGGCCTGATTTGGTTGGCATGTTATAATTCAGCACAGATGCCCTTTCAGGACACAGAATTTAAATACTAATTCACTTTCTTTTGAAGCATTTTTATAGATTTTTCAAAGACTTCCAACAGATAAGAATCTCCAAAAGATATCAGATGGACTCTTGCCCCATGGTTTTTAACAGTTCATCTCCATCTGTTGGGGTCAACTTCTCTCAAGGTCCTCTTGGTGTCTATCACAAAACGACCTAATATGGTCCCTTCCTTGCGGCCTTCATCTGACTGAGGGGAAATACCTTTGCCCATCAAACCCTGGAAGTACAACTCATGATCAATGAAACTCTCTTTTCCATGGCTCCAGAGCAGCAAACTAGAAATAATCTCCCCTATTCAGACTTCTCATGTTTCCCTTCTTACTCCAGGGGACACATGTCAACTTCTCTGAGAGTTTATCTTACAGCTCCCCTTAGTTGGTTTGAAATGGCAGACACATTCCCCACTCTTCCTCCCCACGGCCCCCACACACTGACAACTCTCTCCAAAGATACTCTCCACCCTGGCATCTCTGACTCTATTATGTCACCTGGAGCTGGGCCATGGACTAATGCCAGCAACACAGATGTCACTATCTCTAAGCATATTCTGCCTAGATGGTCTAATACCTCCCTTTGGAACACTGGAATATTTGGTTCTCAAACTTGGGGTACCTGCCAAAACTCTGAGAGCAAATGAATCCCATTTAAATATTCTACAAGAAATCCATAAAAAGAAGGTGAGTGCATAAACAGTCAGTGTCACTGCTGCGGCCAGAGTTCGCCTGATATTGCATTTGGCTTTCACAAATTGTTCCTTCCAGCATCCTTCTTCCTAACCATTTATCTTTCTTATACTCTAGAGCAGAAGTAGGAAAGGGCAGGGAGATCACATGCCATTGCAGTTTGTTAACTGCACAAGGCACCTGGCTGAGGAGGTGAATGAAATATAAAGTACTGCATTAGGGCCCCAGCTTGGGGCTGCACAGTCCCTCAGGAGAACTTGTTTTATTTCATTCTCAAAAAGGTGTCTCATAGCTTAGCAAAGGCCCTGGAAAGGAGCCACAAAAGCACAGGAGCAATTACTGGTCCAAACAGAATAACGGCCCTGTGGTAGAAGATAGCACTATAATAGTAGGATGAGATTTACCTTTGCCCAATAGGATAATGTGACCTAATTGAGAAAATCCAGGAGGCACACTGATTAGGGGTGGCCAGAAGGGATAAGCAAACATAGACTTAAACCAGAGAGAATGAGCAGAATTTGAACTAGATTAAAAAGTTAGTTGAGCCAGTTAAATTCAAATGGAAAAGAAAACCCATCTAAAATTACTTCTCTCATTTTGAAATATTATTTGTCACTAGTTCATTGTTTTAAATATTAAAATATGTTACAGAAATGCTTCTATACCTCTTTGCACTAACAGGATTCCAGACCCTGCCCATGGGGTTATCAGCAATGTGATCTGAGTACATCTCCCACCCCTTCCCTTGCCTGGAATATCTGACCCTCTGAGGTCATCCGAAAGATGTGGCTCAGGGGATGGCTAAGAAATGCCATATGTCTATCAGTGGTAGAGGTAATGGTTGTTTGCATCTACCTTATGTTAATACTCAGAAATAAATATAAATTCTAGGAAGGAAGCTTCTGATTGTGTAGTTACGGTAAATTACTTTGGTTTAAACTCCCAACTGTACCTAGTCTGGTGAGAGAGTGAGTGGGAGTGAGCAAGTAAGACAAAAGAGGAAGATTGATTCTGGTATTAAGTTTCTCAGAAACTCTTAGCTACACGTTGGCTTCTTCTTGATATAACACAAAACAAAGTATTCTCCTAAATAAAGAGAAAATATTAAAAACTTCTTTTTTTTTTTAATTTTTGAGACAGGGTCTCACTGTTTTGCCAAGGCTGGAGTGCAGTGGGATAATCCCGGCTCACTGCATCCTTGACTTCTCAGGCTCAAGTGATCCTTCCACCTCAGCCTCCCAAGTTGCTGGGACGACAGGCACAAGCCACCATGCCCAGCTAATTAAAAAAAAAATTTTTTTGTACAGATGGTGTCCCATTATGTGGTCCAGGCTGGTCTTGAACTCCTGGTCTCAAGTGATCCTCACACCTTGGCCTTCCAAAGTGCTGAGGTTACTGATGTAAGCCACTGAGCCAGGCCAAAAAATTCTAATCCATGAGAGAGTAACACAAAGCCCTAAAGTAAATTACCTTGTTTATTAAAGAATAAAGGTAGCCCTGAAGGCAGATACTTTCTTCTCCTAGCTCACATTGCATTTAGTATTCAGTATAGCCTGCTATTTATAAAGTTATCCAAAGGCATCTTGGCATGAATCAAACCATGCAGACAAGACAACACCACTTCCCTGGGAATTGCTAAGCTTCCTAGAGTCTCTCCCCTATCAACAGAGGCAGAGAGGTGCTGCCTCAATCCTGGCATACTGGAGACATGATTTTCCACTGCAAGTTGCATCCTATTCCATATCCACATGGGATCCTGACAGCTGATGCCTAAAGTAGACAGTGAGCCTCTAAGCAGGTTCACTGTTGATGGGCGTGTCACTAAAATTCACTTCAGTTGTATAGAACCAAACCAAGTATTATAGGAGAAGGCATCTGCCTTGCAACCAGAAAATAGACGTTGCTCTCTATCCGAGCCTTAGAGATTCTCAGCACTGCAGGACAATAAACACGAACAGGTTGGACTACTTGCCTGATGTAAGAATTCCTCTTTAGCATCTTTGTCAAATTCTCATCTATTGGTAGAAGTAGAATTGCTGGGTAGAAGAAAAGCGCATTATTACCTTTATAGGCACTATGAACTTACAGAACAAAAAGGTTATGACAAGCTATACTCCCTTCAATGAGGTTTTACGTTGTCTCCTATTCTCACTAACACCAGACATTCAACATTATCAGATTGTTTAGTTTTGTCAAATCTGATTTGCCAAATAGTGTATCTGCATATCTATATTCATATAGAGTAGGTATTAAAAATTTCTTTTGAGAGGCTGGAGTGCAGTGGCACCATCCCAGCTCACTGCAACCGCTGCCTCCATAATGTTCTGGGTTTAAACGATTCTCCTGCCTCAGCCTCCCAAGCAGCTGGGATTACAGGTGCACACCACCACACCTGGGTAATTTTTGTATTTTTGTAGAGACGGGGTTTCACCATGTTGGCCAGGCTGGTCTCAAATTCCTGACCTCAAGTAATCCACTGGTATTGGCCTCCCAAAGTGCTGGGATTACAGGCATGAGCCACTGCACCCGGCCTAGTTTGTATTATTGATATTAGCAGGTTTATTGCTAATTAATTAGTGTTTCTTCTTTAATTGAGTTTTTCTTTTTCCTTGTTTTTTTCTGTATAAGCCTTTGATCTGCTACGTATGTTGCAAATTTTTTCCCATCTTTCTTGCTTTTTCTTTAACTTGGTTCCGAGTACATTCTGTCATGTAAAAAATTTAAATTTTCATGTGGCCAAATCCGTTGCTCTTTTAGGATTTCTTGATTTTACATTATGCTTAGAAAGACCTTTCCTATCTCATGATGATAAAAATACTCCTTCTCCTGGAGTTTTGTCATCTTTTTGCAAATCATTTATTCATCTAGATAGAGCCTGAATATAAATATCTAACATTTTTCTTTCCAAATATTTTAAAATGTATTTTATACCTCCACTTTCTCCAATCTGAATAGCTGAATGAATGAGAGTGAAAAATAGTGCTGGTAATCAGTTGAATGGTCTCTTATTGCTTTTCACCACCGCTTCAGATCCAGGACAAAAAAAAAAGGGACTGAATTCCCGTTCTGTAGAAGTTACACCTCCCTCCTTATTTTGTCATATCTTCCCTGAGTCTAAGTAATAATTAGTTAGCAAAGTAATATAATTGGAAAAATTGCTTCTCTGAGATGTGTGGATACTTTCACATTCACTGACTAAGGTCTTATCACAATTTTCTTAAGGAACAACTCTCTATCCTAAATGCCAGACCAATGATATGATCTTTGGCAATGTACTCTGGAAGAAATAAAGTAACATCTCATTCATTCCTTGCTATCTTTGGATGACAGTCTATGGAGTATGGGTGTATTTGTAGGGGTGAAAGTGACCAAAAAAAAAAAAAAAAAAAGGCAAGCCATATAAAGATTGTATCTGTTAAAAATGAACACATTTAAATTTCTGCAAAGATTCCAGACACTGTTTTAAGACAGCTGAAAAATCACAAAACTATTCTGCCCACATGCCCCGAATATTCTATCTCACCATAGCCCTCTTGGATTTGCACATACCAAAACGCTCAAGGGCCATTTCCTGAATTTCTCCCAAATGTTCCGATAACACTTCAGCTTAGATTAATTCAAATTCCAAGGAAAACACCAAGTGATTTATAACAAGGAAAAAGAGGTATTTGAACTAAAACCACAATCAACAGTAATTTACAAACTGAAGATAATTTTATGTCACTACTCAATTTTGGAAAAGCAACCCTTGTAGGAATTTCCCTTCTCTCCCCCAATATACAAATAGCCAGCCTTTTCATATGGACATCACTATTTACAGTAAATGGAAGATGTTGCATCTCACTTCTAAAAATAGGTAAGATAGTCTATAAAAGGAGATGTCTCACTTCAAATAATCCCTTTTACTTATTAAAAGATATTTATATTTTATCATATAGAGATTATTTCTTTATGGAGTCAAAAGATAGATGGCCAGGTACAGTGGCTCATGCCTATAATCCTAGCACTTTGTGAGGGTGAGGCAGGAGGCTCACTTGAGCCCAGGTGTTTGAGATCAGCCTGGACAACACAGTGGGACCCCATCTCTACAAAATAAAACTTTTTTAAAAAAGATAGATGTGTCACTTAACTTTGTTGAAGTTGATCTAGAGTTATAGGTTGGACTGAAAATTATAAAATTGCAATTTATTTAAAAAATGTTAAAGTATCAAGTTAGCTTTTATCTTTATAAGGATATTATTGCATCCTTTGCTATACTGAAAAATTTAAGCTCCTATATTATTTTATTCATGATAAAAATTGCTACATCAAAACATATTGGAAAATATACATACTTTGATAAATTTTATTAAGCAGTGGTCTTTCACCAATGATTATACAGTCATGTATCACTTAACAATGATGGGGATACATTCTGGGAAATACATTGTTAGATGATTTTGTCACTGTGCAAACATCATAGAGTGTACTTACACAAACCTAAAGGGTATATAGCTGACTACCCACCTAGGTTATATGGTATAGCCTATTGCTCCTAGGCTACGAACCCATTCAGCATGTGACTGTGCTGAATACTATAGGCAATTATAACACCATGGTAAGTATTTATATATTGAAACATAGAAAAGATAGAGTAAAAAATATAGTACTATAAACATATGGGGCTACTGTCATATATGCAGCCTACTGTTGACCAAAACATCATTATGCAGTGGATAGCTATCTTTTAAAATTCTCACTCTTATTTCATCCAAGTAGTCAATCTTAATTAATTTTGTCCCCAAAATTTGTAAAAAAGAAAAATATAGGAAAACAGTTCAGTTTGTAACAGGGGCAGCAGAGGAGAAGGTTATAGCTTAGAAATTTGAAAGAATAGTTCTGTTAAAACAAGCAAAAGCAAAAGACATTTAAAGTTACCAAGCAACTGTGAAAGGAAGATTGTGAGGCTGAGTGAAAATGATTGATTGGGCTATATAACTTTAAATATCAGCTGGACTTGTTACCATTTAAAAATAGATTCCAAGCAAAAGAATAAAAACCCTTATTTTATAGTTATCATCTTGTCCAAACATTAGTTGAGATGGGCAGAATAACAGCCCCCAAAGATGTTCAGTGCCTACCTGCTGGAACTTGTGAATATATTACTTTATGTGGCAGAAGGGACTTTGCAGATGTGATTAAGAATCTTGAGATGAGACTACAATTAATAATAAATTATAATATTATCTGCATTATCTAGGCAGGCCAGATGTAATTAGAAGGGTCCTTCTAAGAGGGAGGCAAGGGAGCTCAAGTGAGAGATGCAATGCTAGAAGCAGAGAATCAGAGAGATTTGAAGGCGTTACATTACCAGCTTAGAAAATGGAGGAAGGGGCTTTAAGCCAAGGAATGCTAGTGGTCTCTAGAAGCCAGAAAGCAAGGAAATGGATTCTCCCTGGAATCTCCAGAGGGAATACAGCCCTGCAAACACCTTGACTTTAGCCCAGTGAAACTGATTTTGGACTTCTGACCTCCAGAACCATAAGACAACACATCTGTGTTTTGTTAATGCTGCTAAACTTGTACTAATTTGTTACAGTGGCAAGAGGATACTAATATGTTAGTACGGCCCAAGCCATCTGTGAAATGCATACATTTGTACTCATTTGAACAGGGGATCTCCATATGGGTCTCACATCTGTCTATGTGAAGAGCTTTGTGAAACAGTATTCTGGACAGGTGAATGCACAGGGCTAGCAGCATAGAGGAAGTGTGGAAGGAAAAGAGCTGGAGAAGAACCGATGGGTCCAGAGGACCACATTTGCAGTAGAAAAGACCCAAGGTAAGGGAATGAAGATCACTGTAGGATACCAGTGCCTCTGCAATGAAGGTTTCAAGGTGAAGACCAACTCTAGTAAACAACTTGGTGGAGATACTGATCCCTATCCTCATTTTTAATTTTTTAAAATCTTTCTTAACCAGCCAACAGCAGAACATTTAAATGTATTTGCTGCACTTACAAACGTCTTGAGAAATATGTAATGCATGATTTCAAAATGTGCCTGGACAGTTGTCTGAGTGGGAAGCAAACACAATCAGTCTGTGTCCTATTTCCTGGCGAGTGGCTTACTGGGCATCTCTGGGGCAGGCTGGTGGAGAACAGAGCTCTTCTTTCTGGCATATAACACTCAGTGAGGTCAAATACTATCACGCCTGGCTCAGACAGGACCCAGGGCTATTAGGGGAGAACAGAAGGGCAGGTGCCTGAGGCTTTGAGTAAAGGAGAAGGTGCTCATCCACCTGCATCCTGGCTCTGGGTCAGGCTGCCCCAGAGTGCAGAAATCAAGGGCAACAGATCTCTGCTGCTCCTGCCATCATCACCTGTTCATCCTTCCTGCGGCTGAAGTCCCACAAGCCTCTAGGTGACCCAATCCTGGCATCCCAGGCTCAGTTATGTGTGGAGTCTGCAGAAGCTGCTCCCCAGCCCAAGTGCGCAGGGTGCTACTGGTCCAGCCTCCTTTTCTCTTTGACTGGTTCTTCCTGAAATTCACTTGTCTGGTCACACAGAATGTGCTAAAGCTTGCTAACAACTGTAAACTGGAATCCTCTGGCATATATGTGTGTCTACTCTGCTAAGTGGCTTAAAAAATTACTTATAAAATGCTTCAAACATATAAAAAAATATAAGAAATAGTACAATAAGCACATATGTACCTGGTATCTAGATTCAATCATTGTTAACATTTTTACTGTGTATGTTTTTGTGGAGAGAGAAAGAGTTAAGGAAAGGAAGGAATTCTGAAGTAAATTACAGACAACATTCTCACTTCAACATTTCATACCTTAGTCTCTTTTAATCTTTCTAATCTACAGCAGTCTCCCAGCCCTGGTCTGTTTTTCGTTGTTGGTGGTGGTGGTGTTTTTTAATGACTTTGACTTACTGAAGAGACCAGAGCAGTGTGTCTTATGAGACAGCTCATATTCTGAACATGTCTGATTGTTTCCTTGTGATACACATGATGCTTTAAAAATATATGTGGTTTTGAATGAATAGCCTACAGTTAGAATTCAGGCAATTTTATGTAAAATTCTGGATTTCTGGCTTTAAAAAATAAAATAAAAAAAAAAATCAAAAGACCTGGCAGTGCCTGGTGTGTATTCCTGACTGGTTACAATTTGTGGTCCAGTATATGAGCTGCTGCCTTTGAGAGGGTACCACATTGTAGCTGTGTCAAGTGCTATTCCTCATTGTGTCAAATCAACTACCAACACACCTCATCCATTTGTGTAGTCCCTAAGGGTAACTGAGTTTAGAACTGTTTCAGTCCAGGTCCTCCACAAAAACTGGACCAACAGGCTATCCATGAAAACATTTGTTTTAAGGAATTGGCTCACGTGATTGTAGGGGCTGGCAAGTCCAAAGTCCACAGGGCAGGTGGGCATGCTGGTAACTCAAGAAGGATTTTGATGTTACAGTCTCCCAGAATTCCATCTTCTCTGGGAAACCTCAGTTTTGGCTTTTAAAACCTGCACTGATTGGTGAAGCACACCCACATTATGGAGGGTAATAACCCCTGCTTAAAGTGAATTGATTGTAGATGTTGACCACATCTACTAAATACCTTCACAGCAACATCTAGACTAGGGTTTGACCAAATGACTGGGCACCATAGCCTAGCCAAGTTGCCACACAAAACTGAGCATCACAAGGACTTTGTTTTAGAATGAAACATAAGAATATTGCTTGTACATAGCTTTCTTCTCCCAAAACCTTTCTCCTGCTTCATATTTGCTTTCCCTTACAACAAACTTAGTGACTTAAAACACCAATTTATTATCTCATAATTTTCATAGCTCAGAAGTCTGGACATAGTATACCTAGATTCTCTTCTCAGGGTCTTCCCTGATTGAAATCAAGGCGGGGCTGCATTTTCCTCTAGGGTTTAGGGTCCTTTTCCATGCCCTCTGGCTGTTGGCAGATTTCATTTCCTTACAATTGTAGGACTGAACTCTGCCAGCTGGGAACCACTTCCAGCATTTAGACGTCATCTACGTTCCTTACCACGTGGCACCTTCTATTCTTAGGCCAATAAAAACATGTTAAATTCTCCTGTGTCAAATTTCTGCCTTCCTTGTCAGCCACCATCTGGCGAAAACACTCTGATTTTAAAGGACTTATGTTATTCAATCAGGCCACCAGATCATCCCCCTTTCTTAAGTAAACTGTGCCATATAACATTACCTAATCACAGGAGTAAAGTCCATTACACTAGTCTTGCATCATATTTATTGTGCAGGGTGCATGCACATGGAGGGGTTCCAGAATCCTGGGGCCCTCTTAGAATTCTGCCTACAACATGCTTTTTCAAGTTATTTGCAAAAGGTTTTACCCTCTATATTCAAGAAAAAAACAGAATTAAAGTGAAATGATCAAAAATAAGTGAAGGAGCAAACCCGTTTTCCTAATAAGTAGCTAGTGGCTGAGCCATATCTTCCCATATAAGAAATCAAGAGAACTATCAAATAGAGCCTCACTAAATAATGCATTCTCATAAAATGTAAACAGGATCTCCCTTTCTTCCCTTATGCAACTCTGCCTCCAGATAAGAGTTTACTCATCTTTTCCTATTTTGAGATTTATTGGTAGCTTCTTATAAAACCAGCCTCAGTTGCACCCAGCCAAACAGACATAAAAGACCTATGAAAGCAAAACTCGAGCCCAAACAAAGAGCTGCCCTAACTCTTTTGGGATTGTATTTTTAAGTGATCACAAAAGAGAGAGAAGAAAAAAATATCCCAAGCAGAGGCCCATCAATACAGAAGGCTTATAGTGGTAATTCAAGTTCCTTACACTCAGTTTCTTGTAGATTGTTATCTGGTGTTTTTAAGGAAACGGGATGGAAGGTGGAAAAGGCAACCTTGAAGAAGTGTGCAAAAACAAAATTCCAGACTTACAGAAATGATGACTGGACCACAAAATGTGCAGTCACACTTACGGGTGTTATCTTTTCATAACTCCTTCCTGTGTTTCTTCTGGGCCATTTTACCAAGAGATGTCATACATTCATCTGCCAAAAAATACAGCAGCAGCAAATGAGCCACTTATTCATCAAATTTCTATTACACATGGATCTCTACTGTTGTTATACCATGGTCACTCAGTCCTTGCCCCAGAATGTTTTCCCAGAAAACTTTTATAGGAAAATTTTTTAAAAAAAGAAACATGCTTCAGTTCTTTTACTTTTCTCTTACTGGAAAAACTAAAAAGGAATCCAGGTATCACTGGCTGAGAAGAACTCATTTTTCTACGATCCAATTTACAATCCTATGCAACAGAGAAGAATCTAAGCCATTAAAAATGGTTATGAGTAATGCTTACATACCTATTTCAGCCTATTATATGATAGACTGCATTTGACCATCAACTCAGAAATCTGTTGAAATGTACTGTTGGAAGTCCCCATCAGGAGAACTTTTCCTCATTGAGAAGCCACAAATAATACCTCACTTGAAGTGTGATTAGAAAAGTTTACAAGGAACTGAAATATTCTCATGAATTTCAATGTTTAATTTAAGCATGTCTTCCCCAAAAGAAATCTAAATAAAAACTTTGCCAAATACCTCTGACAGCAAGGAGAACTAATACTTGAATCTCCTGCCAAGTGTCCCAAGAGGTTGAGAATAATGATATCCATCTCAAGAGAATTTGTAGGTCATGGATTTTCCCTCCAATCCCAAAGTTTTGGGGGCTGTTTGTTTATGCCTAAGATATTTATTATTATATGTATTAAATGATGAAGAGGAGAGGGGATGGGGGACAAAGAAATAATGAATTGGTTTTCTTGCAAGTTATAACCAAAGGAGAAAGACACACATGGCATGCTGACGAAGAACATTGGTAGCATAGCCAAGGCAGAGGCTGGGAGGAGTCACTGAAAGCATTTAGTCATTCATCATCCCTATCCCCAAAAATCCTGAGTAGGAAACTGGAAAAAGAGCCTTTTTGGGGGGTCAGTCAGAGCCCATTGAACCAATTTCCTTGCCTCATCTGTAAATTAAAGCCACTTTTTATCACCCAGACTTTATTTCAAAGGAAGGTAAGAATAAGAATCTTATAAACACAAGTCTTCTTGACAACATAAATTATAGTTCCCAGAACTTTCCTTCATGTATTCCAATGTTATTACCAGTTTACCACAATTACGAGCTATTCTCCTAGAGATATCTAAAAGGTGAGCTATTTAAGTCAACGCCTCCTACAAGTAAATAACTTCTCAGCTCTCAAGTTTCATCCATCCAACATTTCCTTCTTTATTGTACTCCCTACTCTCCCTCTTGACTAAGGAAAATTAGATTCTCTTCTCTGGCTTAGCATTCATTTTGCATGAGTTCTCACTTCCCCATGACAGTTCCACATCCGACAGCACCCCTTCTATGAGGATAATTCTCTTTGACTGAAAGACACAAGTATTTGTTCAATGTCTACTATATGTCCATAATATTGGCTTACAGACTAAGGCAGAATCTCTCAAGTTTGCCATTATTGACATTTTGAGATGGAACCTCCTTTTTGTAGGGGGCCATCTTGTTATAGAATGTTTAGCATCATCCCTGGCCTCTATTCACTAGATTCTAGAAGCACCTCCCTCCCCAGATGTGACAACCAAGAATATCTCCAAACACTGTTAAATGTCCCTAAGTAGCAAATTTGTCCCCAGTTGAGAACAAGTAGACTAAGGGAATTTCAAAAGAAATAGAAGAAAGAGTCACTTTCCTTGAGGAGTTTAAAATTTTATGCAGACATAGATTGTTATAGAGAAGCATCTTTATAAATGATTTATGAACTCTTTCTTTTTATTAGTAAATACATTGAGTGAGGCACAGAGACATTAGGTGACTTGCTCAGTCAGTCATACATCAGAAATATTCCAGAAAAAAAGGCAGCATATAATCAAGCCTAAATTGCATTTGTGTAGACCACACATGCCATGAAAACCTAAAGGGAGAGAATAATGCTAGTTAATAGTGGCATGAAGGAGGTAGTACCTCCAAGGATGAGCACTTGAAGGCAGGGAGAAGAAGGAAGGGGATGCCTGGCATGATCGTGCATGATCACAACATATGCAAAGGCTTAAAGGTAAGAGTAGAGCATGGAGCTTTAGAGGAACAAGGCAAGAACTAACTCAGAATGGCCAAAGCTAAGGTTGGAGAGGTTGAATGGATCCAAATTCTGCAGGATGCTGACTTCCTGGATTAAGTCCTGGATCTTATCAAGAGCCCTTCAAAAAATGATTTCTGACATCCTCTTAAGGAAGGCAGAAAAACTGAAAACGCACTAATTGGGAGTGAAGAGATCTGAGTTCTAGTCCTAGCAATTCACTGACAGCTATATGACTTGGACAAGCTCATTTATTTCCCTTGGCCCCAGTACCTGCATCTGAACAATGGGGGTCGAACTGGATGATCCCTGAGCTCCTTTCCAGCTCTTGCTTGTTCTGATTGACACCTGCTGTCACTTGCACTGATGGTCAAAGAGTTGTTTGCTGCTTGCCCTGATGTGTCTCAGCAGGTACCCTAAGGAGCCCTTGAGGGGAGGGTGCTGTAACTTCTGGCCCAACCACAGGAGATCAAATCCACATGTGAGCAGCCTGATTGCAAATAAATGTGCTGGAAAACCAAATGTTCCTGATTAGTTGCAGTGTTTCTGTTATTGAATAAGGCCTGCCATTTCCTGACTTTTACTAAACACAGATTGCAGTTTACTGGGTTCGGAAAAAAATAATGTACAACAGCTGAAGAGTAAGTGAAAGACGAACAAGTCACTGACATGTGCACATGTAGTCCCAGCTACTCAGGAGACAAAGGCAGGAGAATCACTTGATCCCAGAAAGCGGGATTGCAGTGAGCCAAGATTGCACCACTGTACTCCAGCCTGGGTGACAAAGCAATACTGTGTCTCAAAAAAAAAAAAAAAAAAATTGAGAAATGTATTTGTAATGTCTAAAACCAAAGAGAAATGACAACTAGAATATATATGGAATTCCTGCAGGTCAGAAAAAGAAAGCAATCCCAACAGAAAAATTAACAAAGTCTATAAACGAACAATTTCCAAAAACAAAAAAACTATCTGGTATATCATCAAATACTCAAAAGTAAAGATAATTAGTAAAATGGAAAATTAAAGAAATGATGAGATTTTTATTTATACCTGTTAGACTAGTAGAAAATTAGGAAGCCGTATAATGGGCAGTGTTGGCAGAAACGTTTGAACTTAACGTGGACTATTGGTAGGACCAAGCTGGAGACAAATCTGGCAGATACTTAGTTTAGCAAAGTCCACTCAAACCTATGACCTTTGCTGAGTGAATATCTGTCTTAGTTTCCTTTTAAGTTTCTTTTAAAAAACTTTTATTATAAAGACAATTTATAACTATATTTATGGAGTACAAAGTGATACTATGACTTATGAATACAATATGAAATAAATCAAGCTAATTAACATATTCATTACCTCAAATGCTTTGATTCATATCAAATACTTTTATCATTTTTCGTGATCAGAACATCTGAAATTTATTCTTAGGCATTTTGAAATATGCAGTACACTATTATTAAATATATTCACACACTATGCAATAGAGCTCAATGAAAAAATATTTATTCCTTCTAACAGAGACTTCATGCCCTTTGACATCATCTCTCCATTTCCCCTGCCCCCAGCCTCTGTAACCACCATTCCAACCTCTGCTCTATGAATTTGGTTGTTTTAGAATCCACATATATGTGGGAATATGAGGTAACTGTCTTTCTGTGCCTGGCTCATTTTACTTAGCATGTTCTCCAATTCCATCTATGTTGTTGCAAATGACAGAATTTCATGTTTTTTGTGTTTTTCTTTTCTTTTTTTTTTTTTCTTTGAGATAGAGCCTCACTCTGTCACCCAGGCTTCAATCCAGTGGCACGATCTCGGGTCACTGCAACTTCTGCCTCCTAAGTTCAAGCAATGGCACACCAGGCTAATTTTTGTATTTTTAGTAGAGACAGGGTTTCACCATGTTGGCCAAGCTGGTCTCAAACTCATGGCCTCAAGTGATCCACCCACCTCAGCCTCTCAAAGTGCTGGAATTACAGGTATGTGCCGCCATGCCAGGCTAATGTTTCTATTTTTAGTAGAGATGGGGTTTCGCCATGTTGGCCAGGCTGATCTCAATCTCCTGCCCTCAAGTGATCAGCCTGCTTCAGTCTCCCAAAGTGCTGGAATTCAAAGTGTGAGCCAACACTCCCTGTTTTTTGTTTTTGAGACAGGGTCTTGCTCTGTCACCCAGGCTGGGGTTGTATAATCATAGCTCACTGCAGCCTCAAAATCCTGGGCTCAAGGGGGCCTTCTACCTTAGCCTCCCAAGTAGCTGGGACTACAGGTGTGCCCACTATATCTGGCTAATTTTTAGAAAAAATTTTTGTAGAGATGGTGCCTTGCTATGTTGCCAAAGCTGATCTCAAACTCCTGGCCTCAAGAGATCCTCCCACCTTGACCTCTCAAAATATTGGGATTATAGATGTGAGCCACTGCACCCAGTTTTTAAAGGCTCAGTGGTATTCCACATTTTCTTTCTCCATTTGTCTATTGATGGACACATAGGTTGATTCATAACTTGACAATTGCATATGGTGCTGCAATGAACATGGGAGTACAAGATGATTTCAAATCTCTTGGGTAAATGACCAGAAGTGAAATTGCCGGATCATACGGTAATTCTATTTTTATTTTTTAAGGAACCTCCATATAGTTTTCCATAATGGCTGGACTAATTTACATTTCTACCAACAGTTTACAAGGATTCTCTTTTCTCCACATCCCCACCAACATTTTTCATCTTTTTGATAATAGCCGTTCTGACAAGTGTTAAGTGATATTTCATTGTGGATTTAATTTGCATTTCCCTATTAATTAGCAATGTTGACTATTTTTCACATACCTATTGGCCATTTGTATACCTTCTTTTGAGAACCACTTACTCAGGTCCCTTGATCATTTCAAAATTGGGTTATTTATTAAAAATACTCCAACTTATATTTTGTAAGTGGTTTCACTAATGATAACAGTACCAACATTAATTAAACATTTTTATGTACCAGACCCTGTTCTTAACACTTGACATGAACCATTTCATCCAATACTCCACATAAACCTATTAAGGAGGCACTATTATTACCATCATTTTCAAAATGAAGAGTATGAGGCACAGGGAAGTTAAGAAACTTTCCCAAGATCACACAGGTCAGAAGTATCAGGGCTAGGATTTAAACCCAGGCAGTCTGACTTTAGAATTTACAACCATAATGCCATATGGCCTCCCCTATGTATAAAAGATGGTTGGTTTTAATATTTTGATACAAAAATATAAGATTATGGTGTTTAAGACCTATGACCAAGTCACCATAGTGAGGGATTATCAAACTGTCACTCACACAGCAGTCTCTGCTTCATTGTCCTAGAGCAATATGCTAAATTAACTTTTGACATGGGTATCTAAAAAGCATTTCACCAGATTTTACACAGAGCCAAGCAATCTCTGAAGGCCATTGAAAAATTGTAATCCACTGGTAATAAAGTATCTCCCAATCTAATGTCTCACCAGAGTTCTAGGCTTCTGTTTCCCACTCCCTACAGCTCAGCACCCACATACTCTAGAATCTTATGCAGCGACACTCTCCTACTTGCACACCAAGCTCCACTTCACTCTTATTTTTAATGGCTTGAAGTAACCAAGTTCTTTCCTGCTTTACTTCCTTCATGTTTTCCCTTTGCCTAAAATGCTGTCATTTGAGTGAATAAAATAAATAAATGATAGCTGAATAAATGTATGAATAATACCAAATTCATCATCATTTTATCTAAACAACTCTGCTTCTGGTCCTTTCTCTCCCAAGCAATGATGTCTTGCTGGATTTCACGTTCTCCCTCTCCCTGGATATGTGATTAGTCACTAGACACAATAGATTCTCCCATGTGAAGTCTCCCACATGTAGCCATTCCTTTCCGTTACACCCTAGCCTCAGCTTATAACACTGGGTGTTTTATGCAACAGTCTTCTAACTGAACTTTGCCAATACTTCTTTCATTTATTGTTTCACAAATTATCTCTTTTGAACTGGATCTCATGCCAGGCACTGAGTTAGATGCTTTGGAGACAATGATGGATAAGACAGATATATCATCTATTCTCCTGAAGTTTACGGTAGCTTATGTATTTACATATTATGCTATTGACACATTAATTTTCCTTAAATGCCAAGATTCCTCCCCTTTAAAAATCTTCTATAGCTTCTTGTTGTCTAGAGAAAATAGTTCAAAGTTCTTAGTCTAATATTTTCTCCTACAAATTCATTTACCATTGCTCACCTGCCTATTCCCACTATGCCAGCTATAGATTTCCTGCTTGTAAATGTTCCATACTCTCTCCTGCCTTGGCTCTTTTGCTTGAGCCACTCCCCCTATCTGAAATGCCTTCTCCCTAACTTTTATTTAGGTCTCACTTTTCCCCCTCCAGCTTTATTAAGGTACAATTGACAAATAAAAATTGTATAAATTTAAGTTGTAAACATGATATTTTGTTACATATAAATATTATAAAGTGATTACCACAATCACACTAATTAACATATTTATCACCTCACATAGTCATAGTTACCTGGTTTTTTTTGTGGTTGTTGTTGCTATTCCTGCTTTTTGGTTTTGGTGATGAGAATGCTTAAGACCTACTCTTAGCATATTTCAAGCATACAGTACCTTATTGTTAACTATGGTCAGCATATTGTATAGTATATCTCCAGAACTTATTCATTTTATAACTGAAAGTTTCTACCCTTTGACCAAAATCCCCCATTCTCTCCCTCCACCCAAGTACCAGCAACCACTGTTTTACTCTCAGTTTCTATGAGTTCAACTTGCTTAGATTCTAGATGTATTGCTGTTTATTTCTTCTTACCAGTTCTGTTAATATTTGATTTATAGTAATATTACTAGTTAATGTTATACTAATACCAGTGTATTGGTATTGTCAGTTTATGTTAATATTATCAGTTAGGTTAATATTTGTTTTATATATTTAGTTGCTCCAATGTTGGGTGAATAAATCTTTACTATTGTTATATCTTCTTGAAGAAGCAATTCTTTTATCACTAAACAATTTTCTTCTTTCTTTATTGTGACAGTTTTTTACTTAAAGTCTCTTTTGTCTGATATAAGTATAACCATTCCTGCCCTACTTCTAGTTACCATTTTCATGGAATATCTCTTTCTACCCCTCTGCTCTCAGTCTATGTGTGTCCTCAAATCTAAAGTGAATCTCTCATAAAAAACATATAATTGTCTTGTTTTTAATCCATTCAGCCACTCTATTTTTTAATAGGAGAATTTAATCCATTTAAATTTAAAGTCATTTTTGATGGGTAAGATTTGCCATTTTTATTTTATTTCATAAGATGGAGTCTTGCTCTGTCTCTGAGGCTGGAGTGCAATGGCACAATCACACAATCATAGCTCACTGTAACCTTGAACTCCTGAAACTCCCGGGCTCAAGTGATCCTCCCACCTCAGCCTCGAGAGTGGCAAGGGCTACATGTGTGTACACCCATGCCTAAATAATCCTTTAAAATTTTTTGTAGAGACAGAATCTTGCTGTGTTGCTCAGGGTAGTATCAAACTCCTGGCCTCAAGTGATCCTCCTGCCTCCGCCATCCAAAGTGCTGGGATTATAGGCATGAGCCATTGTGCCTGCCTGCATTTTGTTAATTGTTTCTGACTATGTAGTAGTTATTTCGTTCCTTTCTTCCTCTCTTGCAGTCTTCCTTTGTGGTTTGATAATTTTTTTTCTTTTGGCAGTGGTATGTTTGATTTAGTTCTCTTTATCATTTTGTATAAACTACAGATTTTTGCTTTGTGGTTACCATGAGGCATACATAAAACATCTTATAGTTACACCAGTCTGTTTTAAGCTGATAACGGCTTCA